CTCATTTTGACATGGGGGTGGGGGGGGTGGAGGGAGGGGCGGGGCCTCACCTGCTTGCAGAAGCGCAGGAAGCCGATGGAGTAGGACATGCCTCTGAGGCAGCAGGTGCCATAGAAGCAGCTGGACCTGTGGGGAGGAGCCCTGAGGTGGGCTGGGAGGACCGTCCCCAGCCCTGGCCTGTCCCAGCCCCAGCCCAGCCAGAGCACGGTGAGTAACGGGGGAAGGGATTACTTGATGGACTTGCCCCGGATCTCAGCCATGATGGCGCTCTCGCCCCCCAGGTACTGGAAGCAGAGGCTCAGGAAGCTGTAAATGACAAAGGCTGCAGGGCAACAGGGGCTGCTGTGAGCCCGAGCCCTACAGGACCATCCTGCACCAGGCTTCTGGCAGGCCCACACGGAGCCCGTGAGGCCTGAGAGTGGAGGGCGGTGCCCACGCCTCCCGCAGCCCAGTCATACCAGCCACGCTCCCCGAGGCCTGGCGTCGGACACCCCCTGGCCTCACTTGTCCAGACCGTGCAGCCCCCCAGGCTCCGCCCTGCACATCACCTTCATAGCAGTCACGCACAGAGTCGAGATAGACATAGTACTGGTGGCTGCCGAGGAGGAGGAGGGTGAGCCAGGAGTCAAAAGCGTAGACGGGCACAATGAGCAGCAGGCGGATGATGTAGCGCTGCTCACGGGGCACGGTGTAGGAGCGCAGGTGCAGGTAGATCTGGGCGGGTGAGAGGGCACATGGTGGCCGCCTGCCACCCCTCAGCCCTGCTGCTCAGCAAGGAAGCGGGGTTGGCAGACCCACCCTGTGTCCCCTGTATTTCCTAGTCTTTTGCAGCCAGCCTGCTTGTCATAGAAAATAAAGACTATTCTACTGTAGTCAGATATCATAAAAAATAAATACTTAATGTATAAGTATATACTAAATATATATTTCGATTACAAGACAGTCATATTCTCTCTCTCTCTCTCTCCCTCCTTCTCTCTGGCAATGGGATTGAACCTAAGTCCTTTGCACTGAGCTGAAGCCCTGTTTAGTTTTATTTCTTAAATTTTTTTTGTACGGGGAATTGAACTCAGGACCTTGCGCTTGCCAGGCAGGCACGGGCACTGCTGAGCTACGTCCCTGGCTATTTCTTAAATTTTGAGACCGAGTCTTACTTAAATGGCTAAGCTGCCCAGGCCTCAAACTTGCAATCCTCCTGTCTCAGCCTCCCAGAGTGCTGGGATTACAGGTGTATGTCACCACACTGGGTTAAATTTTTAATAAACAAATAAAAAGTCCATACAGTTATGGCATCCAGCCTGGTGTTTCAACAGACACATGTGTTGTGGAAGGGTTAAGTCCAGAAGATTATCGTACCCACTGTCTCACACACCACATTTTGAGATGAGGAAACAGTCTACTTCTTTAGCAATTATTTTTTTTGAGACAAAGCGTTTCATTTTCATAGTTCAAGCTGGGCTTGAACTTACTATGTAGCCAGGCTGCCCTCAAACTCAAAGTGATCCTCCTGCCTCAGCCTCTTGCATGTTGGGATTACAGGTGTGCACCACCATGCTCAGTTTAGCAATTGTTTAAATTTTTTTTTTTTTTTTTTTTGGTACCAGGGATTGAACTCCAGTCCTTGCACTTGCGCAGCAGGCAGTGAAACCACTGAGCTAAATCCCTGGCCCAATTTTTTAAATTTTTTAAAGCACACACTGGGCAAGTGCTTGGATCACAGAGCTACACCCCCAGTCCTTCCTTTAGCAACTTGCAAACACGAGAGACATGTGTTTAGCTGCTACCTCAGGAGAGGAGTGACACGGGCCCTGCTCTGAGGAACAGGTGGTAAGGAGGATGTTCGCTCAGGTGTTCATTTGCTCTTTCCTTCAGCAAGAATTCCCTGAGCTCTGCTGAGTGCCAGGCCCAGGGAAGGGTGGGAGACACACCTGGCCCCTGGGGGGCAGGTCCGCTACGATGTAGTCTGGTTCTCAACCTGGGGACAGTGGGAGGACTTACGACCTCTGTCTCTAGGAGCAAATATGCTCAGAAGTAAGGGGAAAGCCGTGCGTAAGGATGCTCATCCCAGGAATGCGTAGGGAATGACTGTTAGGACCCCAAGCCAGTGGGCTGAACTCACTACACGGTGCAGCAAGGGTATGCAGGGATTCTACACAGACTGTAAAAACGATGCTCAGAAACTCAGGCCTGTGGGGAAGTGTTCCAACAGGATGTGACACCTAAGAGCCAGGATGGGACACCAAGCAGGATCAAGGTCTCATCCCTAGGCCATAGGAAATAGGGTTAGAGATGCTACCTTTAAACTTTGCTAGATTTCCCACACTTTCCACAAGGACATGACAGGGACAGGGCTGGGGAAGGGGGCTCGGAAGCTGGGCGCACGGGTCCTGTAGGGATGGCGTCCCAGGGGAGAGGACTGGAGGGTGTGCTGCCTGGCTCGGAGTGCGAGGGTGGCCGACGTCAGGGCCGGCTGCCTATCAGGCGCACACCTCCCTTGTGTGCTGGGAGGACGTGGCACGGCCCGAGTCAGGAGACCTCAGGGCTGGCGCTGCCTGGCTGGTGACCTTGGCAAGCCACTCTCCTCTCTGGCCTTGGTTTCCCATCTGTAAAGCAAGGGGTTGAACCTCTCTGCCCATTCAGCTCTCAAGGGGCAGAGCGTCTGGGACTCTTCTGCCAGGCAGGTCTGGTACGTGGGCTGGAGGTCGGGGGGGGGACAAGGCCTGAGCACAGCCCTGGGCGTCCCCATCGGTTCTGTCCAGGGCGCACAGCCACCCGCATAGCCACGCACACGGCCCGTCCCTGGTGTCCGGACAGGAGGGCCCAGCCTCTGCACCACCTCTGCAGCTCTGCTCTGCCTGGCCCACCTCAGCAACGTACCATGCATCCCAGTGGCTGTCACACGCAGGGTCCCCTGCCCCCGGGCTCACCTGTGTATCCATGCCCCACCACGGCAGGTGAGCTAGTGGGAAAAGAGGGCCTTGTGCTCTCGGAGGCTCTCTGCCACCTTCTGTGGCTCCCAGTTCCCCATCGACACCCAGCCAAACTTCTTGCCAGGCCACCAGCCCTGCCAGCCCTGCACAACCCTCACCTCCCACCTCTGTGGCACTGTCCTTCAGGCACATGTTTCTGCTCCTCTGTGCCTCTGACAACACTCAGGACGGGCCTGTCTCTGACGCTCTCTGCCCCTGGTGTCCCCACCACCCCACTGCCCACTTCCCAAACCTTCCTGGCTGCTGAGCCCGACAGTTCTGGGGGAGTCCTTTCTCCCTACTCGCTGGGGGCTCGGGCTTGGGGCTCTGTGTAGAGATGGGGTGGCAGCCCCATCTGTAGGAGCCCCGGACCCTCTGGCCAGGCTGGGCCCAGATCCTTGTGGCCCCTCCCCGGCCCCAGCTTCCGGTTTCCCTGGTTTCCACCCCTCTGATGCCCCATACCCTCAGCTCCCTGCTGCCTGTTTCTAGACTGAAGCTTCCTGCAGGGCGAAGTCCAAGCCCTGGTCCCTCTACCCCAGGTGCCACCCCTCTGCTGTGGGGAGGCCTTTCCTCCTTCTGGCTATGTGGCCTGGGAGGGATCCTTGGTCCCCCCGAGCCCTGATGTTTTTGTCTGTGAAATGGACCACATGGCTGACCTTGGTGAGCAGGGCCCAGGAAATGCCTGGAGGTGCCTTGCCACATTCTGCCCTCTGCCTGGCAGAGACCTCCCTTCTTCAGGCCTGGCTTCCACATGCCAAATCCTGGAGAAGGGACATTGTCCCTTCCCTGGTGCCTGTGCCTAATGACACCCTGAGGGCCCCGGCCATGGACCCTGGTCCTACTGGAACTCGGTATCTGGTCCAATGGGTCTCTGGCTGAGGTGCCTGGTATCCCATGGAGTGCGGTACCCAGGGAGGACTTACCTGGTGGCAGGTGAGTGCCAGGGCAGCCCACACGAAGACTCCAGAGACGCCTCGGGCCAGTGCAGTGGTGAGGAACAGCCGGGGGGCTCCCTGGGAGCCGTTGCCCACGTGGTCCATCTGTGGCCCTGCAGGCACCACAGGCATGGCGGCCAGGGGGCTGGGCGGTGGCCAGGTCAAGGGCACCAGCGGGGCTTTGGCTATTCCCAGGAGCCCTGAGACATTACTCATCTGCAGAGAGGGAGGATGTGGGGGAGGACTGAAGGCCAAGGGGCAGCTCCCGCCTGGCAGGGGCGGGGCAGGGCAGGGGTCACCAGAGGGAGGCTATGCCAGGCGGTGCGCACTGCAGTGGCCCTTCCTCAGCATGGCAGGGGCAAGTCTCTGCCTGGCTACTGTCCTTCATACCCCGGATACCAGGTGGTGGGTCCCCCCCCCCCCCGTCAGTCCCTTCCATGGGAACTCGGATCTGACTGTCCTACCCCTCCCTTGGCCCCAGGCAGTTCTTGGTACTGTCCGTCCAAGGGGCCCTGGCTCCTTCCTGCTCAGGGGTCGGACTTCAGCTGCCTGTGTGTCCTGGGGAGACCCCTCAGTTTCCCCTTGTGTACAACAAACTCCACCTCTGATGCCTAGGGAGACCTAGGCTTTCAGAGAGTCCGTGGTTTAGGAGCTAAAGACAGCTTCCACCCAGGTTTAGGAAATGGGGCCCTCCTGTCCTGCCTGCCTGGGGGGCTGGGGGAAAGCCCACCCATGGTGCCTGCCTCCCATGTTGGCCCTGCCCAGTGTGTCTGGGGCTGCTTGGCCACACTTCCCGGGCCACCACCCTGCCTGCCCTCTGGAGGGGCACCTGCTCCTCAGTCTCTGGACCAGCTGGAGGGGCCTCAGGTGCATATCCATTCCCATCCGGGCAGCCCTGGGCAGCCTGCCTCCCCACTCCAGCTGCTGGTCACAGGGCCCTGAGCCTACCTCTGTGGGCAGGAAGCTCCTGGCCCGGCCCTGGGAAGCCCAGCCTCCGGGGACACTGGCTGGTCATTTGAGTTGCCACGTGGCCCCACTGGTGGCCCAATGAGGGTGGGGCAAGCGGCTATCAGGAGGGCTGTATCAGGATCAGCAAGGCCTCACCTGCCCAGTGGCCCACCTGTGGAGGGCTGGGAGGGGAGGAGCCAAGCTTGCCCCTCCCTACGACACTCTATCCCTCAGGCTGTTTGCTCAGTGTCAGCTGGCTCCCTGGAAGCAGCAGGTCCACAGGTGCCCTTACCTGGCTGGGCCAGGTGGCCGGGCAGCTGCCTGGGCAGGGATGCATGGGAGGGGTCTGGGTAGGTTGAGGTGAGGATCTGGGGTGGAAGCTTCAGGCCACCAGGGCAGGAGTGGGGAGCTCAAGCACAGGGTTTTTTTGGGGTGATGAGACACTTGGGGACTCTTGGTGGCTGGAAGTGCTCACTGCTACTGGGTGAACTTATGAAGGGGCAGATTGTGCTATGTGAGTTTTAACAAAGCACCAGGCCCTAGGGGGAGCACGCTGGTTTCTGTGTCGTAGGGAGGGGCCAGGGATGACAGGTGGGTCACTGGGCCTTGCTGAGTCTGGAACTGGAGCTGCAGGGAGGCCCTGTCACATTACCTTGCTCTTGGGAGGTGCTGGGGCCTCAGCTTGTCCCTTGGTCTGCTCTAATCACTGTTCATAGTGGCATGGGTGCTGTTAGGAGGTGCTGCTCCAAGCGGTTAGGACCACACACTTTCTGTCCTTCCTGCCACCTGACCAACCCCGGGGCCTGAGCGAACAGCTCCCAGCTCCAGCCCTTACAAGGTGGGACCTGGGGACTCAGGGCTCATCCCCATGTCCAGCCTCCCCTGGACTCACCGAGGGTCTGGGCCATCAAGCCCTGGGTCACACCCATCCTGTCAGCAGCCTGGCCAGCTCTGCTAACACTGGCCCTGGGCCCTCCCTCTACCACACCTGAGCCTGGCCCTATCTGAGCCAAAGCTGCCCAGAAACATCTGCACTGATGTCTCCCCCCGTGGCTCCTTGTCCTGCAGTCTCGGTGCCACCTCAAGAGAGCTCTGCATTTGCCCCACACCACCTTCAAGTGTCCCTGAAACCCACATTGTGCTATCCTGCCGTGCTGTGGCCCGCGTCTCCAACGCCTGCAGCCAAGGTGAGCTCCTGTCTGTTGAGCCTCCTGCCCTGTCCCTGGGCCCTGCAGAGACACTGGCTGTGTGGGGATAACATTTTCTGTCCCTCATATCCTGTCATGATGAACAATTACAAAGACAAGATAATGGCTTGGGGGCTTTGATGGGGGAAGATGGATGTAGGGACAAGGACAGGGCTTCATCGCACCCACTCAAGCACTGGTGGGGAAACTGAGGCTGTGGCCCGTGCCTGTTTTGTTTCCAGAGCCCAGTGTGAGATGATGCCTCAGGCCTTCGCCCAGGCTGATGGTAGGATGATGGAGTAGATGGCAGGAAGCACTGTGGTTAGACAACAGGGGGACTTCCCAGAATGGCTGAGGGGCTGTGGGTGGCCCTGGACTCAGACCAAGGGACACCCAAAGCTCTGTCCTTCCACTGTGAGGAGAGAGCACTGGGCTGGGAGCCTGCTATCAGCCTGCGCTGGCTCACAGGCCCTGTGGGAAGCCCCTTCAGCCTCGCTGTCCCGGGTTGATGGTGGCCACCTCTGTCCCAGCCTGGTGTGTTCCTGTTAGTCGCTGTCTCTAGGAAGCTCTCAGGAGGTGGCCTGGGCTGCGTCTCCCTGTCAGCACTGGGCCCGGCAGGTATCCTAGAAACCGGGTTCTGAGAAGTGGTGGCGGGCTTCTGCCGCCCCGTCATGTTCCTTCTCTCCTCCTGACACAGCTGCTCCCAGAGGCAGCCTGACCCCTCCGCCCTGCACACAGCCTTGGCCACCTGGGCAGCCCCTTTGTCCCTCTGGGCCTCTCCTTTCCCATCTGCAAGGTGGGTTTAGTCCGAGGCTCAGGCAGGACAAGGTGGGTGCACCCTGGCAGCCTCGGCCCAGCCTCTGTCCCCACAGCTGCCGAGGCCCAGGCACCAGACAGGGCAGGTTCGCAGTCCTGGTGTGCATCCACCCCTGTGCTCCCGTGTCCCCACCTGCAAGACAGGACAGCCATGCCTGCCTCTCAGGGCTACAGGGGGACACAGTGACCACCCGTGACCTTCCTTCCCGAGCATAAGTCTCTCCCGGACCTGGGTCCCCTGGGGCGACCCCATCATACCCATCTCTGCACTGGATCTACCTGGGCTGGGCATCTTCCCAGTGGATCTGATGCCCATCCTAGGCACACTGAGGACACAGGTGGGAAGGGTCCAGCGTCCAGCCCTGCCTCCCACCTCTGGAGGCCACTGTCACGCCCTCCCCCCTGCAGCTTCCAGGCGCCCAGTGCTGGCAATCGGCTCATCCTGAGGCTTGGGCAGACCAGACTGCAGCCCTCGGGAGCTCACTGCTTCCTCTGGGCACTACCACCCTTCCCATAATGCCCTTCAGGGAGTGGGTCTGCCAGGCCCATTTCACAGAGGAGGAGACTGAGGCTTGAGGCAGTAATTTCTCCACAAGGGTTGCACAGTCCTTAGAGAAGGGATGAGTGGGGAGGCCCCAGAATCCAGACCCGCTCCCAGCTCCTGACCCCTACATCTGAGGCCTAGGTGTCTCCTGGACCTCTGCCCACCTCTACTGGGGCTGACCACCAGGTGAGTGGCCTTCCTGCTAGGGAAAAGGTCCCCACTGCCTGTCCTGGCCAGGGCTCCAGGCCACTGTCGTGTAGCGGATGTTGGCCTGGGCTCTGGCCAGGGACCATTCTGACTGTACCCCTCATGTCCCCGGGACCCACTCGAGGCCTACAGCCCAGGGGGCTGACCTCTTCTCACTGCCCTGAGGGGAAGGTGGTCTTGGCTGGGTGCTTGCCCTCTCCTCCAGCCAAGGGTGGTGAAATCTTGACTTTAAGGAAGGGGATGGCACTCTGACGGGATACTGGGGCTGTGGGGCAGGGATAGCCTTAGTTCAGCCTGGGGGTCAGGGTGGGCTAGTCACTACACGGCCATCCCAAGTGTCCAGAGCTCAGCACAAGACCACAAGCTGCCGAGCTCAGGCATGAGAGGGCACTGGGTCCCCAGCTGACCAGCTTTCATCTGGAGGCCAGGGTCACAGCCCACATCACTCAGGAGAGGTGGGCAGACCCAGCCTCACTTCCCCAGGAGAGGGCTGGACACTGACCCAGCCTGTGGCAGGACAGACCTGCCTGTCCATATCCAGGAAGCGGGACCTCCGACTGTTGTTCAGGCAGCCAGGAGACCACGCTGTCCCAGCAAGCCTCAGTGCCTGGAGGAGCCAAGACACCCAGGACCTGTCCCATGCCCTGTGCCATGTCTTCTGCCTCAGCCCTGCCTCTGCCCTCATGCCTATGGCTCCTGGGTCTGGCTGCTGGTAGTACCCAGTCAGCCATCTCGTCTCTCCACACAGGGGTCCCCTGTGCCTCACACCCCCAGTTTTGGTGCCCAGTTGACCCCCAGGACTGTACCCCACCCAGCTCAGGTGACGGGACCTCCCTGATTTGCCCACCAGGTCTCATGGCTCCCCCTTGGGGCCTTCCCCAGCTGTTGCCTCATGAGTATCAGGTGGCACTTGCCACTGAACTTGTTTTGCCCCATGCAATGGCCCTGACCCAAGGAACACCCACTCCTGGTGCACAGCAGGGTGGTGACGGGGGCCCAGGCCCTGGGTGCTCAGGTCAAGGAGTCACGAGTAGGGCTCAGAGAGGCAGTGGATAAGCTGGGGCCCCATCTCTCCCACAGCCCTGCAGGTTACGGAAGTGCGGGTGACACACTGCCCTCCGTGCCAGGGACCAGGAGCCACCTCTCCCCGCCTCCTGCCCCTCCAGCTCATCCAGTCCCCAGAACACCTTCCCACAAACATGCAGGCAGCACTGCCTCCTTGCGGCCAAGATGTCACTCCTCACCCGGGCAGGGAGCAGCCCTTTGGCAACCTGTACCTCAGTTTCCCCATGCAACTTGAGTCCTGTGTATGGCTGTGCAGCAGGTCACGGTGCTCAGAAGAGACACGGGCTGCCCCCCTGCCCGCTACTCTTCCCAGGTGGCTGCAGGCCACTTCAAAGTGTCTCTCTGGAATCCTCCTGCCAGACCAGCAGGGACCCGGGACTGAGCTCCGGCTGCCCACCTGGCCTCGTGTCTGCATTCAGGTGAGGTGTGGGTGGCCTCAGCTTCCCGCCCCTGGGCTGCCTCACTCTGGCTGTGCCCACCAGCCCCAGAACCCAGGGTGGGCCGTCCTGGGAACATGGGGACACCACTCCCCACACTGTGGGTCTTCATCTTCCATGCTGCCAATCCTGGTCCCCAGAGAACCTGCTGAGACCTGTCCATGTCTGCCTTTGTTCATAGCAGCTGGCAGCTTTGGGTGTGGCTCTGGGGCTTTCCACCTAGAGCTGGGCATGGCCCCAGCCTTGCCGAGACCTTTTTGGGTGGCATTCTACAGCTGGGGGGCACGGACTCTGGGTCTGAGATGGGATGGGGGCAGAGGCATGACTCAATTTTAGGAGTGGGTTCTTCTTCAGGAACCCCCACCCCACTGGAGGGTCAGGGCCCCAGCCTAGAAACCATGTCCCTCCCTTTTAGTCCCACGTGCATATAGCTCACCTCCCTGGGGGCTCTCACCTGCTGCCAGGGCCCAATAGGCTTGAAGCTCGGTTTTCCAGACAGGGAACACGCTCTGCAGCCGCCCGGCCCGGGAGGGCGGCAGAAGGGGTGACCCGCGTGGTGGAGCCTCCAGCCCTCTGCTGTCCTCTCACAGCAGCCAGGCAGCTGGGTCCCCGCACATCCTTGCTGTCACCCAGAAACTCCTCCCAGCCCTACCTAACCAGCCCTCCCTGCCCAAGCAGCCTCTGCCGGGCCACACCCTTTGCCACCCAGCCCAGGTTCTGAGACCGGCCTTCAATCCTTGCCTCATCTCCCTGCCTGCAGGCTGGGGGCTTGAGCCCCTGACAGCGAGGGGGCTTTCTGGTGGCTGTGTCCCAAGGGTGGGCTGGTCACGGGATCCCTGGCCTTGGGTGTGGGGTGGTGACGCCCGTGTCCCACACACACTGAGGTTCTGGGTGACAGCCTGTCTTCCTCCAGCCTTCCTCTGTACACACATTTCCGTTTCCCCTTCTTGGTTCCTTCATCCCCAAACAGCTTCAGGGAGGCTGGAGACAAGCATCGCTGCCAAGCTCTGGCCATGGCCACAGGCATACTGGTCACAGGACCAGGAAAACACGTGACCTATGCCTTGGGCCTCCCATGGGCTGAGAGCCATGGTCCTCCAGGGCCTGGGGATAGGGACACGTGGCTGGTGGGGCTCGGGGAGGTTGCGACTGAGTGTCGTCTGTGAGGAGGGCTCAGCACTCCTTGTCCTTAAGTGGTGCAGGGCTGAAGGCTGACAGACGGTACAGCAGGAGCCTGAGTCCGGGCTGTGCGGCGAGGGAGGGCCATGAATCTGTGTGGGGCCTGCACTGCTGGGGGCTTTTTCTGGAGATCTCTCTCCCTTCTCCCTGCTTCCTTTTCTCCCAGGGCCTCCCTTATACTCCTAGCTTGTATTTCTTCCCAGGCCCTGGTGTGAGGAAAGCAGTCTGTCCCCAGCACCCCAGGCCTTTGCATCCATGTAGGATGGGCCTCACAGCTCAGCACTGCCTGCCCTGGGCTCCTCAGGGGCCCTGTGTGAGAAGCTGAGCTCACGTGGGAACAGCCCAACATGTCCTCACACACACTTCTGGTCATGTCCACCTCTGGGCCCCAAAGCACAGTCCTCATCAAACGTGGGCTTATTTCTGAAACATCAATGTCCCCAGGGCTCTAGGGCCTTGGACCTCAATCTTTCCTCAGGAACCCTCACTTGGAGCCAGGGCACCCTTCACCCACACAGGCAGGGCCTGGCTTGCTTTTCCTGCTGTGATGCCAACTGATAAGCCCCAGTGAGTGCCTCTCTTCAGCCTCTGGCACCCCATGCAGGTCTGACCTCACCCCACCCACCGGGCCCTGCTCTCCATTTCCAATTTTGCTCCCAGGAGCTACACCAAGAAGGCTGGGCCGGCTCACTGTTCCCTGTGTCACGGTACCTGGTGTGCGCGCGGCAGGGCAGGCTGTCAAGCCCGAGGATACGCTAGCTGCCTGACCCCGGGAACAGCCGGCCTCCTGTAACTTTCTACCTTCATGGCGTACATGAGGGCTGCAGAAGGGTGGGCATGAGGGATGGGCCTGGGAGGCTTTGGCTTAGCAGAAAACTGGGACAACCATTGGAGGGCAGAGGGTGGTCCAAGGGCAGGGCCTTGAAGACAGACCCTCTCCTGCCTGCCCCGTGCAGGCTGGCACACATCAGCCCAAACTTCATTACTTACATTAGGCTTCGAAGGCCTGGAAGATGTGGTCTGATGGTTGAGCAAGCACCACACATAGCCACTCCACCTACAGACCTCACTCCTGAATGCCAGCAGCTGGGAGTGAATCCTGGCTCCTCGGGGAACCAGCCTGATTCACAGGGGGATGAGGGGGTGTCTAGGGGGCCCTGGCTGAGCTCCTGAAGGCATTTAGTCTCAATCTGTTTTTTTCTGCAGCACTGGGAATCAAGCTCAGGGCTCAGGGCGAGTGAGGCAAGCACTGTGTCTGATACACCTTTAGCCCCTTAGCCTATTTGTTAACTCTAGCGGACCACTCTGGGCAGCTCCAAGTAAGTGCAACTTACAGGAGGCCCCGGGAACTGGATTCAACTCCAGGTCGGGTTCAGTACCACTTTCAGGCAGGGTCACCTTGGGGTCATGCAAATAATAGGGGCAGAGCTGCCTTCTTGCCCTGACCACTACTTACTGCCCTGGCCAGCACTTATACCCTGGCATCTCTGAGCAACTCCCTCATCTTTCTCAATTGACTCCACTACCTGCTTTTTAAGTAAGGCGGGGTCACAGGACCCAATCAGACACAGGGACCTGTCAGGGCTGGCTCCTAGGAGGTCCTGAAAAAAGAGTCTGAACCAGAACCAGATAGAGGCCTGGAAGACTGACCCTGGCATCTGGGACTGTCATTCCTTTGATGTAGTTAAAAGGACGCAAGGACAGAGAATCACAGAGGGGCCTGGTGATGAGACATTAGGACCCCAGGCCCTCAGCTCTTGAAACTACCCAGGTAGCTTCATGGCCTCCCTGTGCCTGTTTCCTTGTCTGCAAAAGCACATGGTGAGTGGTGGGTTTTGAGGGCCAAACAGTCACCACACAGGCCATGTGAATGACTTCTATCACATTTGTGGACCAGATTGGGAAACTAAAGCCACAGACCTGAACTCGGACCCAACCAGAGCAGACCCAGGCTCAGCTTCCCTGGATCTGTTCTGTGAGAACAGCTGCGGCTCCTGGAACAAAATCAGGTATCTGAGTTTTAGAAGACAAGTATGAATGATTATAGGCTGACAGCGAATGAAGAAAACTTTTGCCCTAATGCCTGCTCTACAGTGCTAACCTGATGATGCCAGCTCCTTACTTCCGGTCCAGTCGAATTCTCCAGAGCAGGCTCCTGTCCTGGCCCACCCCAGCCTGGTCAACCCAAGCACTTGCCTCACCCCAGCAGCTTGGGGTCCCCACACCTGTCCTTCCTTCTTGAGATCATACCTTTGTAGCCTGTAAGACTTGTGGAGTTCAGGTCTTCAATGGGGCTGGCAGCATTTGGGATGAAATGTGTGGGGTTCCACAGGAGATGTCCGTGTGAAGGAAATGGGGAGGGCACTCAGCAGGCCGTGGGGACCACCGGCCTAGCTGGGATTCAGAGAGGACACTGGCAGAAGCTGTGGTCTAAGGAAGGGTGGATGTGCTGTCTGGAGTCCCTGGGCCCAAGTTAGCCATGATCTGGGAGCTCCTGAGGGCATGGCGCAGGCACAAAGGTACTCCTGCTGCAGGAAGGGGCATTAGGACAGTCATCTTCTGTGCCACCTCCAGCAGACCCACTTTCTCAATGCACTATCTGCCTGTCCTAGAGAAGAGTTCCTAAGAGCAAGAAAAATCACAGGTCTGCAGGAGCCACCAGTTCAAAGATAAACCAAATACAAACATTCCTTCCTAATTTCACGAACACCCTTGATGCTTTGTGCATCCTTGATCCCAGGAAGGGCACCATGTGCTTCTCTGCGACCCAATTCCCTCACCCACCCCCAGCTGCCTCTGCCTTCTCACTGGAGACCATCAGAGCCTCAGGTAGGACAAAGATTTCAACTTTCAGCTACAAAACTCCTAACTCGAGAGGGACTACTGATGCTGCCCTTACTGCAGCAGGAGGGAGAGCCCAGGATCCAGGCTGCCATCACAGGCCAACTCTAGGGGATAAATGCCATTCCAAAGAAATCACCTGAACCCAGTGCTTACCAAGTCTTGGAAATATCTCCTAGGAATATTTCTAAAGGGTGGACCTGATCCCACTCAAAACCTTCCAGGTTCCTCACTGAGCTCAGGATCATCCTATGGTCACCTGTCCCTCACAGTGGTCTTCCTGCCCAGCCTTAGCAAACTTCTTGCAGTGTCACCCTTACTGTCCTCCTCACACTTCTGACCTCTGTACACACTGTTCCTTCCCTGGACTCTCTCCCACCACACACACACACTGGCTCTCAGCACTCAGCACAAAACATCAACTGGAAGCCAATACCAAGGACCCACAGGAGAGGGGCAGGATGGCAGCATTCACAGAACCTCTCCCAGTACTCAACTCACCCCTGCTGACCACGGATGGCATTTTGCCAAACATGAAGTTCTTCTCCTACCTGAGGTACGCTAAACTGAACTCACACGGCGTGACCGGAATTTTTCAGTGTTATTAAGCAGGATGCTGAAGTATCATGGGATATTCACTTTAAGTAAAAAACCTTCGCCCTACAAGTGACACTGCCAAAGGGTGCCACAAGTCATGCCAGCTGATTCATGCTGCCCATTCCCAAGTAGATGCAAGGATCAGAGTCCAGTGAGAACCACTCCCAATGCCCTTGCTGCTTCTGCCACCCACTGTGATACAGTAACCAATAGTGAGGGTCTGCCTGAAGCATGAATGTTTTTTGTGGCTATAGTCAAGAGAAATCTTCCTTGTGACTGTGCCTAAGGACTGGTCTACGAGACCCTGCAAAGGGACTGAGTGTCCAGCCAGTTCTGCTGAGTAGTGTGTGCTGCTGACTCCAGGTTACCAAACCTGGCACACCCGGATCACCTCCTTCAAGGCCTTCAGCCCCTCCATGCTCTTGTCCTTCACTGCCATGGCGAGGAGGACTGCTCTGTTTCCGGCTTCTTGAGACACAAACGCTACCAAGTTCTTTGCAAAGACATGGACGAGAGGCTGGTGAAAGGGAGGAAACCATGGTGACTCCAGGAACTCTGAACTTTTTTCCTGTTGCTTTCATTAACTCTGGCTTCCCACACCACCATTAAGTTCGATGCAGCAATGACTCAGAGCTCCATGAGGCACTTGAATTCCAGGTATAAACAAACCACTACAGAGGCATCATTAAGCTTATTTCCTTGGTGCCTTCTTCATCTCCCTGACCACCTATTTCTAATCTAGAAGGACTCATGAAAGACGAGCCTGCAGAGGGAGACGCTGTCAAGGCTCATGGAGCACACACAGCCACTCATTAACATAATGCATCAGGACAGGGTCAAACTGAGGAGGCAGCCAGCATTACAAAATCAATACCTCCACTTATCTGCTGGATAAAATGCTGACAGGATGAGAAGGGCATCACCAAGGGCAGGCAGATGCCCTCGAACCCACAAGGGTCCCAGAGAAGGCTGTCACTGTCGCTATGTGTATGTGGTGTTGCATACCAGATGTTCCACACCCTATTGACAATTTGCTGCCAAGAAAGAGGATTCTCCTCCACCCTGGGGTCCCTTCCCAACCACCCTACCTCATCTTGCCCGAGAAGGACTTTTGTGGTGAGCACTGGCTTGCTGATGTCGCTGGCCACGTTGCTGGGCTCCAGGGAGACCAGGGTACCCATCTTCCCGAACTGGGTCACTACCACCAAGATGTGGCTGCTGAAAGCTGTGCAGACCACCTGCGTGGGGACCCCACACACCACTTCTGTCTTCTGTTTCGATACCACCAACGGTTTGCTTTCCATGGTCCCGCTCTTCAAACGGCGGCTTTAATTTGGTTTAAAAAGACAAAGAAAGGAAAGAAGGGCTGTGAAAAGCAGTGTTTAGGATATTACATGGGGCTCCAAATAAGCATCATGTGGCTTTAAGGCGCACACAGCAGGTCCACACAGGCTTCATGCAGGACTCTGGGTGGCAGGACTGAACATACTAAACATAACTAAGCATCTGTTTACTGGGGATCGGGACACAGCCCGCCACACCCACACACACCCACACACCCAGTTCTGTTTACTGGGGATTGGGAGACCACCTGTCCCTCGGAGAAGGGGACTCCGCAGGAGGAGGGTAGGAGCTCCGGGTCCCTGCTCTCACCAAGACACGCCGCGCCGGAAGTAGCTCTGCGGGAGCGACGTGGCCCACCCCCGCCCGCCGGAAGTGCGGGCCGCGGGCTTCCGGCCCTGGGTCGCGGGGCGTGTGGTCCGTGGGACCCCGGCCGCTGTGTCCCTCAGGTTCCGTGCTACGTGAGAGTCCGGGGTTCGCTGCGGCTGACACCTCCAATTCAGGGCCTCCCTATGCGCTCCCCGGGCTCAGTGGGGCGCGCCAGGCACTGAGCGCTTATGATGAAGCAGCGCGTTTAATCTTTATGGCTCAGGTTCAGGGAGCTGAGCCGCCAGTGCCCGCGGTGGGGCCGGGGCAGAAGAGGCCTCTTCCCTGCAGGGTGCCTGCATCTACCGGTGCCTCCAAGCTGGGGGTGTTATTGGCAAGTGGGGTGTCTTGAATAGATGCAGAGAATGGTTTGAGCTGTGAGACAAAAACCTCACTCAGAAGCCTGGCTCACCACGCACTGGCCTTCAGGAAGCCTCACATCCCTAGAATCTGCTCCCTTTCCTGACTTAATGCTTCCGTATTCACCCTCAGTCAAGTCAGATGAAGCGTGCTCCTTCCAAAATGATTTCTGCTGGTGGCGTAAAATAAAAGGTGCACATACTAAACATTACCAAAATAGACCGTAAATCAAGAGGAAATTCATCTTTGAACATTCTTCCAGAGGGCACACAAGGAAAAGATTACGGTTTCATGGTAATAGTACTCAAGAAGCAGGAAGCATATCAATTTCTCGGCAAAATCTTTTTGTCTGTTCTAAATTTAAACACACTTCCACCCACACAGCCCAAAAGCAAAATGCCAGTGTGTTGCTTTGCCAAGTGAAATCTTCAGAAAGGGGACACTGATTTTTATTCGCCTTGTTTTGCGTTCTCAGACAAAAGAGGATGAGGAAATCTGACTCCCACCCAAACAAAAACCTCAGAAATAAACGTAACCGCCTCTATAAAAGGGATATTGGAGAACAAGGTGGACTACATTTTCATGCCACTGTTAAGCGAATAAGTGATGGGTTGCTATTTGGTTGCTTTTGGTCTAGATCTATGATAAAGACTGACTATGAAGGAAAACAGAGGTGAAAGGTTGTCTTTTGCTGAGTTAGTGTGAGTCTAGGAAGGGGACTTCCTGGTGGCCTAAATGGATGTTTGGGCAAAATTTACACACTTGGAAGGATGTATGGTCTCGTTATTTGCTGTTGATTATTTTCCATTGCATGTGGAAATTGTACTGGAAAGAAAGACGCCGTACGTGAGTTCATTTAAAATGGGAGTCAGATAGTACCAACGGGGACGAGTTTGAGAAGTTATCTTGAAGAAATGAAAAAAAACAAAAACAAAAACCCACAAATAGCATGAATTTGTCTTATATTAATAAATTTTAGGTTATGTATTTGTGCATTAATTTGTGGAAACAATCAAGTGTTGATTTGGCAGAGTCCTAATTTTTCTAACAAATTGTATGGTAACTCAACACATTATCTTTCCCACTGTGTGTGATTTTCCCAGCTCTGTTATAAAGAGGATTGGTTTTTTTTATAATTTGAAAGTGTGCCATCAATTTTCCCAAGAGCCTCTCATAATCATTTGATATTCAAATTGTTTCTTGTTGAAGTGCTGGCAGGCATTGGCCTTGCAGTTTCCTCCTCCTCAATCATTTGCCTGTCTGGTTTTGCCAGACCCTCTCACATGTGTGATGGCTTCAGGCATCCTCTGAGCATCCTTTACATTCCTGGGCATTCTGACATCTTGTATCTCTGGAAAGATTTATAATTGGCTTTAGGTTTCACTGTACTTATACAGCCTTACAACATGATTCTGGGTCCTTTCGTGGAAAGTGCGGAAAGATACTAGAGCTACACAGGGAGGGAAGTTTGAGTGGAGATCAATGTGAACAATCATATCATTAGTGCAGCTTGCCATGGTGATAGAGAAAAGTTTGAAAGTAAGTTTAATAGATTAGCTATTAAAGTAGTTGTAGAAGCAAAATAGGTAGTGTAATCCTTTAAAAGCTTGCCTTAGCCCGTTGCTTTTGTTGTTTAAAGTGAAGGTTATATAGCTCCTTTGATCTGTAGCTCCACTATAGATAACATCTTAGCTCTGAAGAACAAAGTGGCAATCCCTGAACAAACTTGTGATATATGTGCTGTAACTGTCACGTGTTTAGGACTGTAATCAGTGACAGAAACCACCTGTGTTTAACCATTAAGCAGAAACTCGAATTTTGTTTGCTCAACAAAGATCACTAGGGATGAGATAATGACTAACAAAAGTATAAAAGCTGATGGACAAAGAATGCCGTGCAGGGACACTGACAAGACCAATTTCTGGTGGTCTCGCCTGCTTGCAAGTAAAGCCTTTGTTATTTTACCCGAATTCTGTGTCTCTGTGCATTTCTTTCCGTGATTTTCTTGAACAATGGTGGTATAGATCTATAATCTTAGCACTCTGGGAGGCTGAGGAAGGAGGGTTAAAAATTCGAGCCCAACCTGGGCAATTTAGTAACCTAGTGAGACCCTGTATCAATATAGAAAATAAAAAAGTGCTAAGGATGTTGCTCAGTGTGAAGGCCTTGGGTTGAGTCCCTAGTGCTGAAAAAAATTATTGGTGAAGCTTTTGTTATGATGTTTTCTATTTTCCTATCCACCTGCAAAACTGCAGGGACTTAGATGACCAAATCATTAGACTGAGGAGTTCGTAGGTGTGACTTCTCAGGCTGGGTAAAATTTGAGGTTTCAGAATCAACCTTTTTGGTTCTCACTAACCACTAACCACTAACCATGGTTTTGGGGAGCTTATTTTGTTAGCCTCAGTTTCTCAAGCTTAGACATAAAGATACCATTGGTTTGTATACAGTGATTCACTGGAACATCATAAGTTCAGCTATCAAATTTATTAATAGGCAACTCTTCTCCCATCCTTCAAATCCTGCTGCTGTATACAGATGAACAACAGCATTGGCACAGCTATCAGGACCTCTTGGGGCCCTCATTCAATACACTCTTGGCTGCTCCTGACCCACATGGTGGGAACCTGCCAGCCTGGCAGGAAGCTGTCTCCCAGGTGCTGGGAGGGTGACTGTCGGGTCCCTCAAGGTCCAGGGTCTGCTGAGCAACAGTCCTGTGGAGACAACATTCTCTGTGTGTGTGTATGTGTGTTATGTGATAATAGGTAGAACCACTTTATTTATATAAATGATGTCTTTCTCATTTCTCTTGGCCAGGCTTTTAAGAGAAGCTGGCTAGCTGGAAATATATTTGTGATGTAAGCCTGAGTCAGGTGTTAGATACAGACATTTTATGGAGATTATGTACTTATTTTAGCTTATAGACACTGTGGATTTAGGCTTTGTTTATAATATGAATATTTTTATTATATTTAGATCATTGATAATTTTTTGTTTTTGTTTTTGTGAGACAGGGTCTTGCTATGCATTTCAGGTTGCCCCTATGAACTTACTATTTATAGTCCAGGGTGGCCCTGAACTCGAGGCAGTCATCTTGCCTCAGCCTCCCAAGTGCTGGGATTACAGATGTGTGCCACCACACCCAGCTTTTTTTTTTTTTGGAGACAGGATCTTGCTATGTAGTTCAAGCTGGACTTGAACTCACTATGTAGCCCAGGCTGGCCTCAAACTCATGGTGATTCTCCTGCCTCAGCCTCCTGAGTGCTGGGATTACAGGCAATCATTGATATTCTGGAACAAATGAATAAGGCTATATCCATTAGGATTCTTTAAAGTGTAGATGGCAGACACTTATGTGAAAGATCTGTTCCTGCAGGGGGACAGATGGGCTCACACAAGTGAAAAGACCCAGAGACTCAAAGTACTCTCTCTGTGGCTGGACTTTGCACATGCCTTGGACCTGTTCTTAGCTGCATGAGGCTGGTAAAATTGCCCCGTCCTGGTTCTTACTCAGCTATGGGGAACCGCCCCATTGATTATAACCAAAGCAGGCTGTAAGCAGTGCAGGCTGTAAAGAGTTAACCCCACAATTGGGTTATTTTAAGAAGTGAGTCTGGGCCGGGGATTTAGCTCAGTGGTTTCGATGCTTGCTGCACAAGCCCAAGGACCCAAGTTTGATCCCCCATACCCCCCCAAAAAGGAAGTGAGTCTCACCAAAGCATATGATATAACACACAGCTGAGGTCAGAGTGACTCTTACCCAAATTCCATTCCCAGCCTAGCACAAGAATGCTTTGTCTCTTCTTTTACAAGCCTTGCCTGAATCAGCGATGTATGCCTAGCAACCACATGTAGCCCTTAACCCAATTTAACAATGATTATGTCACCAATAAATATTGAGGGCTCTGGCTGTTCAGGGCCTTTGCTTGCTCAAGCACTGGCCATCCCAGTTCCCCGTTTCTTTCTGTTTAATTCTGTCCTTAAGTCTTTCTTCTCTCCATGTGTCATTGCACTGAGCAGGAGATTAGAATCCACTGCAGGGGCCTCTGATACTCAACAGCTTTTCTTGGTCTATATTTCCAATAAGAGTCCCAGGATAGACTCTCTTTACAATATGGGTCTCATATCTGTCACAAAACTAATTGCTGTTTTAAAAAATAAATTAGAAGTAGGTGTGGTGGTGCACACCTGAAATCTCAGCACTTGGGAGAGTGAGACAGGAGGACCCCCACAACTTTGAGGTCACCCTGGGCTGCATAGTGAGTTCAAGGCCAGCCTGGATTACATAGCAAGACCCTGTCTCAAAAAAACCAAAACATTAAAAAAAAAACTAATGGAAAAGTGACTTTTTGTATATTTGAGAGTTTAGAAATACTTCTAAATTATGCAGGTCAAAGAAGACATCGTAATGAAAATTCTGTGCTATTTAGAACTCCCTATTCTGTTCTCCCCTGGAAGCCATCAAATCTTTCTATCTCCATCGACTTGGTATTCTGAACATTTCATAGAAATGGAGTGAGCAGTGGCCTCTGGAATCGGGCTTCTTTCCCTGAGCAACACATTTCTGAGGTCTGTCCACAGTATGATGAGTGTCAGTCCTTCCTTCCTTTGGGAGAAACAAATT